CAAGCAAGTTGGATTCAGGACTTAAAGAGGATTATAAAACATTCTCTTTGGGCTTTAAAAGTTTAAAGTTAATTTGGTAGCTAAAAACACCTTTGAGTTAGCAGATACTTTTTCAAACCAAAGGTATTTTGCTTGCCTACTTCAAAAAAAAATCATTTATCCCCCACCCCCCAAATTTTTAGGGTTTCAGGATCAGTCTGTTTTCTCTGTTTGGCAAATAGTCTAGCTTTTTGCAAGTTGGCTTTAAAATGTAAATACTGTTTTAACTTAAAAAACAGGCAACTACACCATGTAATTTTGAGTACTCTGGATTTTGAAAACACATACCTAGATGTTAAGGTCATCACCTAAAAAATACACCTGAGAAGTATATAGACTGAAAAAAGCTTTAAATATACACTTAATTGCCTCTGAAGGTCTTATGAGTGAACATTTTAATACTAATATACTAAAGTAGGAGCAACGCATGACCTTTTATTCCATTATCTTTCAATTACTAAATAACTTCCAAAGTTGCTGATCTTTAGTATACATTTTGGCATTCACAAATATAAATCTAATTCAGTAAATGACTTTCTATACTCTAATATAGCTAATATTTCAACCCAAATTAAGTATTCTATATCCTAAGTATTATAAAATATAAATATGGCTGCCTCTCCATTATAATTTCCTAATTATAGTTCAGCTTTGGGAATCAACTTAAAATTTACAATATATTTTCAAGCTTAAGCAATATACAGCCAATATTATTCTTAGTATTACTCTCTGTGATCCAACTACTTTAAAAATTTTAACTATAAAAATCAAACACATACTATACAGTAAGTATATATTTTAGAAATAATACTAGTATGTAAAAATTACCATGCTTCATTTAGCTCAGTTTCATCTGTCACAGATTACTCAAAGGTCTCTTTCTTGGTATCAGTGGTAAATGTTTCCCCAAACACCTTAATTTCCCTCATTAACATATTATGGCTTAGTCACCCATTCCCTTACTTCAGTAGTAATGCAATTTGTATTTTTCATCTTCAACTCTCTTTTTGGGTACTGGGTTCCATAAATTACTATGTCCAGAGAGTGAATTAGTATGTTCATTTACATGTTCTCTCAAGTTCTAAGAGTTGCCCTTCTTAGTAGCTCTTAGTTGCCTCAATCTGGTATTGAAGATTTGGAAGACAAGTTAATGTTCTATCTCTCCATCCTGGTGATTTTTAGGTTCTATCCTGCTTCAGTCTGTCGTCCCTCATACAATAGACCTTCATCCATTGAATCCTTCTCAAATTCTGCTGTAATTTTCTTGAAGTAACTAGGGTATTAAAATTTTTAAATTTTGCTCTTTTGAGTTGAAGGATTCTATAAAACTGTTTCATGTCCAAGCTTATACCCTCCTCTACCAATATTCAAACAGGGAAGCTCTCTCTGTCTTAAATCCTAGATTGCAACAGGTTTCATCTGCAGCAATGATCTGTGGTTCAAAAAAATGTGAAACCCGCTAGAGAATGAAAGACTATATTTTGTTTTTAATCTTTTAAAGAACCCCTTGAGATCCACTGGCATTTTTGGCTTGTGTAATTTAGTATGTGGGAAGGCAGGAAAGTGCTAAGTACATTTTCCTGTGTCCCCTCTACAACTCAACGATGGCTGACTTGTCTTGAGGAAAGGACAAAGCCTTCTTTTCTCATACTAGGGATAAGGCTTTAAAATACCAGGAGAAAGTCAGCATATTAACTTAAATCAATAATAAATGAAATTAGTTACTATTCGATCCTTTTCTTGTAAGTAAGAAATTGAGAAAAAAGTCTAATGGATCAATATGGATCTTAGAACAGGACAAAAATATATAAAACAGGAAGGGGATTTTAAAACTAGGTTTTGTTCTTTCTCAAGGTTGGTTTGGCTATTTGGGGGTTTTGGTGATTCCATAGAAATTACAGGAAGTAAAAGACTGATACTTAAAATATATACTGAAATTTAAAACTATAAAGCTCTAGGATGGCAAGTACAAATAATACCTCTTGGGGTTACCATCATAAATTCTATGGGCTGGAAATGAGGAGTTCTGGGTTCTGATATGCTACTGATTAACTGCATGACCTTAAGGACAGGCCATTAATCTTGTGGTGTTCAGTTATTTCATCTGAAGTCTAAGAAGTTTAGATAAGACAATTTCTAAGTTCCTTTACGTTTTAAAATTCCATGGTCCAAACTCAGGCTACTTTACCTGTGAGATCAGTCCCTTCTGGGAATATGAGGAGTTGAAGTGGTTCATGGATATCACAAAAATAATCAATCATGTCTTCAAAATGGCTCCTGTCATCCTTCCATTTCCTATGAATGAAGATATAGGCAGCAGCCTGCATGGCCCAACCTAGAATCAATTTAACAAGTATTTACATATAATTTTAATACCAATACCCACATATTATTGAATAAAATATTTCAGAGCTTTTTGGTTTTACTATAATTTACTTTCATAATTAGCATCTAATGATATACCTTAAATTCAGCACTGATCTGGGATTAAATAACAGACATACCAGAGAATATTCTTAAAGGAGTTTACTAAATTCTAGGATTTGCAAAATTCTCAAAAACCTCTTTTCAGACCAAACCTAGCTATTAAAATACCAAAGAAAAAACTTCCTTAATATTTATCATTAACTCATCCAAATTTCTAACAATCCTAACTAACTAGACATTTTTACCAGGTTACCTACAAGAGATACATGACTGTGTGTTATCAGGCTTATAAAACAGAAAGCAAAGGATTGTTCTCAAGAATTCTCTTTGATATTTTCTTTTCTGTATTACTCAATCTCTAAATCCAATTGCTATTTTCAATTGTAGCCTCTTTTTTAGATTTTATTTAAAAGAGAAAATATGCAATGGCTACTAAATACGTTAATCAGAGTATACACTGTGATCATTTTCTCTCTCTCTAAGGCAAATTCACCTTGCTACTGAAGAGGTAGCCTCAGACGAGCCATGTTTTACCCATTGACACCCCTCCCTGGCCAGAAATGCTTAGAACTACTGTGGTAAATGCCTGGCTTAAGGCAGCCAATCAGTAGGCTATTGAACAGTCCATGAAGCATGAAACCCTTGGCCCAAACACAGTAACTATCTTGGCCAGTCAAATGTTCTCTCTCAGAAATTTTACCTGGGACCATGGAGAAAGCAAGCTGGTATGGAAGACAAATGGATGGACAAAAAAGCAGGTAACAGAGACAGTAGCAGCTGAGGCAAAACACAGGTAGCATATGGTAGTGAAGATCTGAACCACTCTTGCTGCTGAGGCACCTGAAGCTGATTTTGATCCAGAACGAAAGACAGCCAGTCTCCCACAAGTGCTGGCCAGTCTATGGGTCCACCTGCTGGGTACCCAAGAGTCCATTCCCTTACTGCCATGTGTATCTTTACTTTTGTTTTTTCAGCTAGAGGAAATAAGTGGTAGTTCCTTGCCAACAAACACAACTAAGATAAGAGTTACCATCACTTAATCAATACAGTTGTACCCTGAAAATACATAAAATTATCGGTAAATTATTCATCAGTGGTTAAAAAAACTGTAGGACTTTATTTGGTTTGAATATGTACAAACTAGAATACTGTATTCTACAAATACATCGAAAAAGTCTACTTTAGTATAGGACTTGCTGATATGCATCCAATCACTCCTCACCTACTGCATTTGTTGTCAGTCATCCATCTGTCCTGGAACAGATCCCACACTTGCCCCCTCCCACATGTCTCTCTTTCACCAGAGGACACCTACTACCACAGTGCAGTTTGCCGACAAAGTAGCTCCGGAGTGAGATTGCCTGGGTTAGAATCATAGCTCCACCAGAAACCAGCCATTCAACTGTAAGCCTGTGTCCCTCACAGACCCCAAATGTAAAGATAAACATAATGCTGCAATAGTATTTACCTGATAGGAGTTATTGTAAGAAATAAATAAGATTATTTCACACAAAGTAGTCAATAAATAGTTATTACCATTATTATGATTAAGAAGTTACAATAATACCAAGGATATTATATCAAGGAACATAAAGATCTAACAAGAAAAGTTCCCATTCATGACTGCAAAACAAAAATATGCAAAAGTAAAAAACAAAACAAAACAAAACAAAACAAAAGACACCCGCAGGAGCCTCATGAAGACAACTACACACCTGGAAGGAAATGGTGAGGCATACGTTTCTGAATTCAACCAACATGCCAATGATCTCCAAATTCATAATTTTAGTTTCATGTAATTATAGTCAAAATTCCAATGAAATGAAGGTGTGTGAAAATTTGGGATTTAATTCTAGAGATAATCTGTAATAAAGAGATGAGACTAAGGAAGTTTTGAATAGAAGAATAAGTAGGGAAGACTCACACCATTAAACATTAAATATATTATGAAGCAACAATCATTAAGTCAGAACAGTATATCTGCAAAAGCAGACAAATGGAAAAGAATGCAAGACCCAGAAAAAGGCCCTTGAATATGTTAGGAATTAAGTATATGATAATGACAGCATTTCAGACCAGAAGGTAAAGAATGAGATGGGCTTTTTAAAAATATTTTTTGAGGTATAACTTAAAGTATGAAGATATTAAGTGTATAGGTCCAGAGCTTAATGAATTGTTACACATATCTGAGTGGCTACCATCCAGATTAAGGCACTGAATATGTTCAGCACCCAAGAATTCTCCCATGTGCCACTCTGCCAGTTAATATGCTCCAAAGGCATCCATTATTGTGACCTCATCATAACTAATACAAATGAAATCACACAGTAGATATTCTTTTGCCTTTGGCTTCTTTTGTTCAATATCATGTGAAATGAGATTCACCCATATTAAGTATTCACATTGCTGTGTAGTAGTCAATTACATGAATATATTACAACACATTTCTACTATTGATGGAGCGATGTCTTGGCTATTAGGAATAAAGTCAATATGGGTATCTTTGTACCTGTCTTCGGTTGAACATAAGCACTCAGTTCTGTTGAATGAATCCTCAGGAGGGGAGCTGCTGTGTATTAGGATTTATGTATGTCCAGCTTCAGTAGATGGCATGTTTTTCTCTGATTGTACTGACACTCCCACCAGCAATGTACGAGTTCTAATTCCTCTGTCTACAGCCTCATCAACACTAGATCTTACAAGTCCTTTTAATTTTAGCCGTTCTAATCTAGGTACGGTAGTTTTAATTTGCATTTCCCTTATGATTAAAGATGTTGAGGATCTTTTCATATACAAATTGGCTACCTGGATATCTTCTTTGTGAACTGCCTCTTCAAACTTTTTGCCCATTTTTTCATTGGATTCTCTCTCTTTATTAACTAGTAGGATACAAGGGCAGATACCCACCCCCCACCCACACACAGAGAATATATATAATCCTAGTTTTACATATATACCAAATATCTTTTCTTAATTTGTAGTATGCATTTTTTCTCCCTTAAAAGTGTCTTGTTATGAACCTAACATGTAATATATGAATGAAGCCCATTTTATAAATCTTTTCCATTGTGCTTGGTGTTTCTTGTGTCTTGTTTAAGAAATCTCTGCCTACTCCAAAGTCATGAAGACTCTATTCCATGTATTCTTCTAGAAGCTTAAATGTTTAAACTTTCACATTTTGGTTTATGATCCATCTCAAATTAATTTTTGTATATTGGGTGAGGTAGACATCAAAGGCTCTTGTTTTCCACATAGATGTTCAATTGACAAATGCCATTAACTGAAAAGACCAAGAGATCATTAATTTAAGTAATAAAATATTTTTAAAGCACTAGAAAATAAATGAAAACATATTGGCTGTAAAACAGTCAAACAGCTCAGAAGTACATAGACTAAAACATGAAAATACTCCTTCCACATTTATTAGGGAAAATGTTTTTTCTTTGCTTGACATCTCCTTTTATGTTTTCATGTTTGTTAATACTTCTTTATGGTTTCCTGCCCACCTTTCTCCACTTTTCTTCCTTTCTCTGTCTTTAGTTGAAATTATTATGTTTTCTTTGCCTGTTCCTTTGTTCTCTAACACAGAGGTCAGCAAACTATGGACCAAATCCAGTGCACTATCTGTAATTGTATGGACCACAAGTTAAGGAGAATATTTTGTAATATGTGAAAATGATAGGGAATTCAAATTTCAGTGTTTAATAAAGCAAAGTTGGACAGGAACTCAGCCACACCCATTTGTTTATATTTGTCGTCTATGGCCGCTTCTGTACAGCAGTGGCAGAGTGGACCAGGTGCAGGAGAAACAGTACTGCCCACAAACTCCAAAATATTTACTTCCTAACCCCTTACAGAAACAGTTTGCCCACCCTTGCTCTAGTGGTTTGGAAATTACAAACTGTTTTATTCTTTTAATAGTCATGCTTAAAATTTTTTCACCTTTCCATTTCTGACAAACATTTAAACTTAAAAATAGTTCTGTCAACACTGAGTTAATAAATAATCCTCCCCTAAACAAAAAATTTTGCTTTCCTCTTGTCCCTCTTCCCAGATTTGTAGAAATCATCCAGTAGTTTCCCCAAATTGCTATTATTATTATGACTACTACTACTACTTCTAATATATTCTTTATGTTTCACAAAAATATTTTTAATCATTTAGACTTGACTCAGTAAGTCTGCTGCTTTCTCTGCTTATTGTTTCTTATATCCTGTGTCCTTTTCCGTTAGTCCTCTTTAAGGAATTTCTTTCAAAAAATATTTGAGTCTCCACATTCCTGAAATGTATTTTTTGGTTCTCAAATTTTGGAGACTAGTTTGGCTTAAAATGGAACTTGGGATTCCAAATCATTTTCCCCTCAGAATTTCAGAGCTATTTTTCCCACAGTCTTGTGTCACTTGATATGGCTAATAAGAAGTCTGACATCAATCTAATTTTTCCCCCTCTGGAAGCTTTACTGATTTCCTGTTTATCCTTGGTTTTGTGAAACTTCACCAGGATGAATCTAGGTATGGAACATTTTCACTAATTCTGCTCAGCAGTTGGTACACTCTCCCAATATGAGTCTCTCCTTAACACTGGAAATTTTCCTTCCATTTGTTAAGAAAATATTATTTTTTTCTCTTCTTCATTCTTTCAGACTTTCTATTTGGAACTTAGATGTTAAAACTTCTGGATCTGTCCTCTTATACTTTTTATCTCCCTTCATTTGACTCCGTTGAAGGAAAATCTCTTAGCTTGGTCATCCAACTCACTAATTTGATCTTCAGCTGTGCCTGATCTACTAACTGAGTTTATTTCATCAATCATCTCTTTAATTATCAAGATTTACGACTGGTTCTTTATCACAGCAGCCAATTTTTATGAACAAACAGCAAAACTATAAGTTATGGCAAATACAAAGAG